AAATATAGAACAATTTTGTTCAAACAATAAATTCTAAATTTTTCATTTTGATCATAATTTTTGTGAGTAATATTATTTTTCAAACATTTTCATCAATTTTCATACTTTAATCCTAACATTTAATTTCGTAGTGGTATTCTCACAAAGTAGGAAAGAATTCAACAATATATTTAATTGGTATAAAAATTAAAAAATAATTCTGTACAAGTAACTTTGTTTTACAAATAATAATCCTATTACTATCAAAATAATATACATTTCCATAGCACTAGACAATTTACACTTTATTATCAACAACTTAAAACATTTTTCAAATGTACAAAAATGTTTTTTGTATTTTACCTCACATCTCTCTCTTCATAATAATTTTAGTTTTCTTAATTTTTAATCCTTTTTTTTAAAAAAAAAATAATAATAATAATTATACACACTTTGTATGCTATATGGTATTTTTGGGATATTTCATTAACGGATATAATTTGCCATTTTTTTTTGTCTGGACATTTCCATACTTGAAAAATATCCTTCATTTTATTGTTTTTGTCTTTACATTCTTTTGTCCTTTTATATCTTCATGCCCCTTTTTTTTTTTCTTTTTTTTTTTTTTTGTCTTTTCTATGTATAAAAGTATAAATACCTTTATTTTTTTTCTTTTTATTTTTATGTTCACAAAAAATTTACAATTTTGTAATTATGTACAATTAACTAACTTTCATTAGCAGTGATAAGAAAATGGGTGTAGAAATGGTTGATTTGATGCAAAATTTTCATACAAAATGAAATAACCCAATTATTTTAGGATAAATTACAAATACACTCATTAAGATTTATTTAAAATACAAGTTATTTTTTGTGATTTTAGAAATTATATCATGCTCCTTCAAGCTTCTAATTATATAACAAATAACTCATTTTATTAATAAATTATCAAGTCAATTAATAATTTTTTAATGATATTAAAAATATGTTTCAATTAACAATTCTAGTTATAGGAGAGTTGTTAGAATTATTTTATTTTTTTTTGTTAAATAAAAAATTATAATAAAGGGGTTTTGTAATTTTCAAACCACATAAGTCAATCTATATTTTAAGCAAACTTAAAAGTTATATTTATAATTTACCCTTTATTTTAATATAAAAATTCATGAAGATAAATTTTATTTACAAAAGAACATTGTTATTCAAGACAAAAAAATTAGAAATAATTTTCAAGCAGTGATGTGTCAATCTAGGATATCAATGGTAATATCCTCTCAGAAAATTATTAGATACGTGTATATACTGCTTTACTAATCATCATTCACCATGCTCCTCGTATTCTTCAATCACTAGGGATGGCAATGGGGATTAATGGGGTGGATATTAATTCTCCATCCCCATTCCCCTATAATAAATTTTCCCCATTCCCCATTCCCCATGGGTACCACCCTCCCCATTTCCTAATGGTTTGGATTTTTCCCAACCCACTTTAATCCCCATTTTTATTTTATTTTTATTTTTTATATTTAATGTTAACAATTTTTTTTTTTTTTTAAGGTTCACAACAAAAGCTAAATGTACCTTCAATTTTTTTTCTTTCTTTTTTAATATATTTAATGTTAACAACAATTTTTTATTTTATTTTAATATATTACATGTTAAAAATGTAATTTCAATTCTCTAAATTACATGTTAAAAATGTAATTTCAATTTCAAAAATATATTTTCAAAATACGATTTTAAAAAGTAAGTTAATTTTTTAAATAATTTAAAAAATAGGTCAATTCTCTAAATTATTTTTTTTAAGAATATTAAAAAAAAAAAAACTCCTCAATTTGGAGGTTTATTGGGCATTTGCCGTACACCTAAAAAAAAGTCGCATTTGTTTAAAACAAATTATCCGTCTAGTGTACTTTCAGCATCATAATTTAAGTATGAAATTAGATTTGCGTTATGAATCTTAAAAAAAAAAAATTATTTAGTTAAGAGTTTTGAATTATGTTTTGAACTTTACGTAATATTTTGAAATTTTTTGAATTTATTTTTTTGAAATATTTAAAAATTTAGGTAAATTATACTTACACCCTTGAGGTTTAGGTTTAATATATATAATCCCTTGACGTTTGGAAAATTACACTTACTCTCTTTTCATTGTAATTATTCGGACGTAATTTACATTGGTACTAAAAAGATATTGAATTCATGCACTTTTTATTTTCTTACTTTGCTTTACTTCTTTTTTTTTTTTTTTTATTTGCTTTACTTTTTTTCAATGTAATCTCATCTGTTTTTTTACCTAAAATTGTTACCTTTTATATAAATAAGGGTTTGTGAAATGAGACTATTAACTACATGGGTGGAAATGTAATTTTCATAACATCATGGAGTGGGATGTAATCGGACCAAATCTCAAGGGGGTTGTCAATGCAATTTACTCTAAAACTTTTCTTAATTTTATTTTTTAGTGTAAATATTTTTATTGTAAATATTTATTTATTTATTTTAATGTATGTTGTATTTACATGTGTGCACTGTATTTTTTAAAATATTTTTATTTTTTTAATATTTTTAATATTTTTTAAAAAAAATTTTACTTTTTTTTTAAATATAATTTTAAAAAGTTTTGGATTACTCGTATATATCTAAAACATAACAAATTATTTGGCCAATACTTAAAAAAATAACAAAATATTTTTTTCAAAAAATAAAATAAAATAAGAATATTTTTCTTCAAAAATAAAAAAAAAAATTGAAATTTATATTTTTTCAAAAAAATTAAAATAAAAATAATTTTAAAGAACAAAATAAAAAAAATTGAATTTTTTTTTTAAATAGAATTTTGAAAAGAGTTTGGTTATGAATTTTGAAATGAGTTTTTGAATTGAGTTTTAAGTTATGTGTTTGATTATGAGTTTTGAAAATAATTTTTGAATTGAGTTTTAAATTGTGTGTTTAGTTATGAGTTTTGAAATTTTTTATTGGAATCATGATTTCAAAACTAAACCAAACACTACCTATGTCTTTAGTGCTTTTGTTTAAAATTATGTTAATTTTTTTTTTACTTGTTTCATCATGTATAGACACATTTAAAACGTTTTAAAAAAAATTTAAAAAGGAATCAGTGAGATGCTAGTTAGAATTTAAATATCAGGACCTACGAGGCAAGGGACAGTCTCACAAAGACAATTTTTACAGGGCATGGGCCTCCCAAAAGGTAACTGTCGGCAAAAGTTTTCTCGGACTGAACGGAGATTGGCCCTCGAGTGCAAAGATAGAAAGAAGCTTGACGGCAAGACCCACACGTTGAGCAAGAACAAAAGGTAGCCTTATTGATCCAATGATGCCGAGTGGAAGAGTTGTTGCTCAACGAAGGCAAATTACTTTACAGATAACAGGCGAATCTTTAAAAAGTAAAAAAAAAAATTACATATTTTTTTTTCTTTATCCTTTTTGGATTTTTTTTTTAATCTGTTCGATCTGTGCAGTTGATTATAATTCAAAATCCCAAAAAAAAAAATTCATTAAAGATGAAAAAAAAAATTAACAAAAAAGTTATTAGAAAAAAAAAATTTCCAAACACCCCATTAGCAAGAAAAATAATAAAGAATTTCAAAGTGCTAGTTTTAAAATAAATAAAAGAAAAAAGATTGAATGTATATTTAGTTTTTGTTGTGAATCTTAAAAAAAAAAATAAATAAATAAAATAAAATAAAATAAAAACATATGGGGAAATTAGTGGGTATCCATCCCCAACCCATCCCCTGTGGATATTCAAAGAATATCACCTACCCTACCCAATGGATAAGACAAACGGGGAAAATCCATGTATTTGGGTTGGGTCTCCATGGATACCCACAGGGTAGGTTATCCATTGTCATCCCTATCAATCACTAAATACAAAATTATAATAATATCTCACTTTATCCACCAATCATAATACCATAAAGGGTTGGTTTGGCAAAGGCTCATTGGGCTTTTTTGGCTCAATGAGCCATAAAAGACAGAATAGGCTCATGAGCCACAACAGACAAAACATCCCATCCAATCTCATAATCATTACACTATTCTCTCACAAAAAAATCAAAAAAGCCAAAAAGTCAAAAGCCCTTCCCAAACTAAACTTTTGAGCCCAGGCTCATATAGTCAAAAAAGTAAAAAAGTCAAAAAGCCAACCCACTTTCCAAACGGAAGCAAAGTACCACGTAGTTGCGCTCCTGAAGTACTTAATAATCGAAAAAATTATTAGTTGGTCTTGGGGCGCCATGTGGCCATGCGCCACATCATTCATAATTCACCATACATCTTCATATTTCACAATCAGCTAACACAAATTCATAAATCCCACCCCCCTCTACCAATCACAATACCATTGAGACATGATGTGGCGATGCCCAAGACCAACCAATATTTTTTCTTGATAATCACTCCAATCATATCACTTATATATCATTAAGTCTATAAAAATAGGTCTAAAAGATGAGAAAGATTCCCCTCTATATTCCATTTTGTATATCATTCTCTTTTATAAAATTAATATTACCGAATATTTTTGTTATTTTGTTCCGATAAATATACTAGTAAAAATAGAGTAGAGAGAGAAATTGGAGACGTGGCGTAAAATTTCAAAAATATTAGAAATTTTAAAATTTTACTTACATGAAATATTTAATAGAAATTTTAAAATTTTACTTACATAAAATATTTAATAGAACTCTTAACAAAAATGTTAGAGACTTTAAATATTTTATTAAAAATTTTACCAAATGTCTCACACGGGTGTGAGACCCACATAAAACCCGTGAATCACACGGGTGTGAGACCCACATAAAACTCACATTATGTGAATCACACACTCGTACACGACATTTAATAAAATTTTTAATAAAATATTTGTGATTTCTGACATTACTCAACTCTTAAACCTCGCATTAGTCTAAAATTTTAATGTGTCGGCGGGAAAATAAAACGAGAGGGATTCGAGGCGTTAAAAACCCGCTAAATTATCTATCTACCCGTTGGGGTTGCTGTACAATGAAGCTAAAGCAATGCCCCAACCATATTTTCTCAGACAAGAAAATGAGAAAGAAACCAAAAGAAAATCTAAATCCCCCAACTAAAAAGTAAAGTAGAAGAAAGAGAGTACGGTTGGACAGACCGTCTTTGTCAATTAGTGGACTCCTCATCGTCACCACCAACAAAAATAAAGAAAACAACATCTCAACCCCAAATTACACGGTCTCTCTCCAGTCCATAAGAGACTCAAAATTACACGGTCTAGATACAAACGCTAGGCCACCAATTCATATCAAAGCCCTAGCATTTCACAAATCTCATAATAATTGGAAGAAGAAGAAGAAGATATGTACGGGAGAGATCCGTGGGGAGGGCCGCTGGAGATAAATGCGGCGGACTCGGCCACCGACGATGATCGGAGCAGGAACCTACAGGAGTTTGACAAGGCGGCGCTGTCGAGGCCGCTGGACGAGACGCAGCAGAGCTGGTTGTTAGGTCCGGGAGAGCAGAAGAAGAAGAAGTATGTGGATCTGGGTTGTATTATTGTCAGTCGGAAGCTGTTTGTGTGGACTGTCGGGACGATTCTCGCTGCTGGGTTTCTGGTAGGGTTTATTACTCTTATTGTCAAGACTGTGCCCCGCCACCACCACTCTCATTCGCCGCCGGACAATTACACCATCGCGCTCGGCAAAGCCCTCATGTTCTTCAATGCCCAGAAATGTAAGTAACTTAAAAAATATATATATCTATGTCGTTTGCATGAATTTTTTATTTTTTATATATGTTTTTTTTATTATTCATGTGTTGATTGTTTATGTCAGCTTAGTGTCAGATCTGCTGATTCTTTATTTGGAGAATTTAGAAATGAGTGGTATTATCCTAAAATAATTACAGATTCCTGGAACAGTTTATAACTTTAATTGTTAAAGTATACAAAGTTTATAATTTTTTTTATTATTATTATTTAAAACTAGCCCTGATTTGTTGTTTTCCCCTGTATATTAAGCAAGATTGATGGTAAGAATATCTTGAATGGTATTTTGTTAGTTTAATTATACGGACACTAATCAATCATCACTAATATATATATATATATATATATATGATATATCTATGTTGTTTGCATGAATTTTTTATTTTTTATATATGTTTGTTTATTCATCTGGTTATTTCTCCTTGTATATTATATGTATGTATTTTAAGGACTCGTTTGTCAATTATATATTATAGCTAAAAAATCAATATAAGTTATCACATCTCTTTATTTCTCTGTATATCTTTTCGTAAAAAATTAAAAAATTATTAAAATAACCTATTCTCAAACGAGTCCTAAGAATAAAATGTTGATTTAGCATAAATTAAGCAAGATTGGTGGTAAGAATTTCTTGAATGGTGTTTTTTTAAGGATTAATTGTACGGACACTAATCAATCATCACTAAATACTATTTTAGTCTTTAATTTCAATATGGTGTATTTAGATTCTTTTTAATTATAAAATTTCATCATCATTTCTCCCCCCCAAAAAAAATGCTATTTGTACTATTATTATTATTTAGTAAAGGGTTTTATGTACAATTTCAAAAAAAAAAAAAATGTTAAGGAATAATGTAAATTACATTGACCTTTCTAAAGTTTGAAAAAAATACAATAAATCTCACAAATTTGACATAATTATATTGGGTTTCTTTAAAATTTTAATTTACATAAGACTTGGGACTCATTTTTATCATTAATTTATTAGTCATATGGATGAAAAATTAATGTCGTTATATTTTTATTTTGTTTATTATTGCTTTTTCACACTATTTACATTAGTTTCGGTTCGTTTAGCCTGGAAGGATGGGCAGTGCCATTATGCCAAAATTGTGAGGCTTGTTCTAATTTCTTTAATTTTCAAGGAGGTCAATATAATTTACCCAATGTTATTTGACAAGTGTCCTTATAATTAAAAATCTTTCATAATTTCTCAATCTCATAGGTACTTTGGCACAAGATAAAGTTTCTCTATTGAGACCTAAACATCAAAGATGGTGTAAAACTAATAAACCATAAATATAGGTACCATATTTATTAATAGCACTCCAATAATTACTTTGGACCCCTCACTTTTTTCTTTTTTCTTTTTTTAATTATAATTTTGTCCTAAACACACATTAATGTGTACTAATTGGGCGTTGTTTTTTTTTATTTTTTTATACTTTTGTCCTAACATCAAATTATAGATTTAACCCCACCTTTACTCTCCCAAACCCTAACCCTAATGCTAACCTTAACCCTAACCAACCCATTCGCACTCCGACTAGCAACCTTAGCTACCATCTTTCAACTCCCGCTGCCATCGCCACAACCCTCACTCACCACCCACCAACGCGCCACTACCCACATCACACTTGGACTGTTCTTCGCGACCCTCCAAGCTTTAGTGACCCTTCTCAATCCATTTCCATCCACCACTGCCATCTCCACTTAACCCTAACCAACCCATTCGCACTCCGGCTGGCAACCTTAGCTACCATCTTTCAACTCCCGCTGCCATCGCCACAACCCTCACTCACCACCCACCAACGCGCCACTACCCACATCACACTTGGACTGTTCTTCGCGACCCTCCAAGCTTTAGTGACCCTTCTCAATCCATTTCCATCCACCACTGCCATCTCCATCTCCACCCACCTCTCCCTCTCTCTCTCTCTCTCTTATGCGCAAGATTGCAATCACGACCACAGAAGGTTAGTGACGGTAGCGACCCAACCTCCCCATGCGATCATCACGACTGTAACATTGCTTGCAATCTCTCCAGATACAATTAAGCAACCCCGGTTCCAGCCACCACCATCTATTTGTTGGTCTACATATGAACTGCCACAATTTGTTCGGTGGTTTACACCTGAAGCTCCACTATTTGTTTGGTAATGATTTTCCTAACTAAGTGTGACAATTTCAAATGAAGAGGAATCAAACATGAGCATGGCGGGAGAGGGCTTTCGAGTAGTTGAGTGGGTTGCGTCGACAGAAAATGGTTGAGATTAGTGGAAGAAAAGATTTGGGTGAAAGAAATGAGATGGGGAGGGTGGTTGGTAGGGAAGGGAAAGGAAGAGGGAGCTAGGGTGGTGGGTCGTTGCAGGAGTAGAGTCACCATAGTTCTAAAAATCAGCCGATATGCTACGTACCAGCTAGTTCGTATCGGAAAAATGGAGTACCGCGACGGATACAAGCTGGTATAGCACTAAGATTGAAAATTACAGAAGAATCGGCCGACTCCCAGTACATAGCGGTCTATAACCGTTATACAAGCCGTTACACAAGTCGCGACGAGCCGATATTCACCGGTTCAGACCGGTACAGAAAAGAAAAAGCTAAAAAACCTGTGAAATGATTTTTAAAATTTCACCACCGTGACACCCGATTCCCGATACGTACTGACCGATACTACCGATACTGATACCGATACCGCAATTTAGAACCATGGAAGTCACTGGTGTGGGAGGGAGGTTGAGGGAGGGTTGCCAGTGGATGAAGGGGGTTGGGGAAGGGTTGCCGGTGAGGGAGAGGGGTTGCCGGGAAAAAAGTGTGGGGGTGAGGGTTGAAAGAATATGTTTGGAATTATGGTTGGGGTCCAAAGAAACATGTAGAGGGAAGCAATTTTGGTGGTGAGGGTTCAAAAAAGTAAGGGGTCCAAAGTAATTATTAGGGTGCTATCAGCAACACTTGGTTCCATATTGGCAGAACTTTATGATAGTAACAAAGAGTCTCCATAATTGGAAAGAAATAAACACCTCCACAAAGTCTAACAGCCAACTCAATAAAAGAAAAGTTAAAAAAATTGAAAAGCTTAGATTAAATAGATAAATAATGTATACAACATATATATATATATTTGTAAAAAGGTCACTTTCTAATACTATATATATAATTTGTTGATAAATAATTTAAGATATTTTTCTACAGTTCTTTCTATCTATATTTACATTATGGCTAAATATGTTACTCTACATATATGACAAGGTTTGACTTCATAATCTAAATGGGTAAAAGATATTCTTCTAGATTTTTTGTATCCCCCCCTTTGGTTTGACAAGTTCAATTCAGCAGTGTAAAGGAATACCTCATCTATTTTTTTATGTTATTTTACCAAGATTGTAGGATGTTAGTGAAGTTAGATTACAATTAAAGGAGTCGTTGCTGCTCCATCAGCTTGAACCCCTAACCTTCCCCTTAGGGTGTGGCTACAAGACCACTGAACATCGTAGTATTGGTAGTTTGTCATTCCGCTATGAGCCAATCATTTTATCTGTCCATGTAGGAGACAAAGGGGAAATCAGGTTGTAGCTCTTGTATAATAAATTTTTTCCTTGTACGCTAAATATCATTTTGTTTATCTTTTATTTTTATTTTTATTTTTATTTTTTTTATTGCATTTAATTCTAATTTCCATTGTTCACAATTACAGCTGGAAAGCTTCCAAAGCATAATAATGTTTCATGGAGGGGAAACTCCTGTTTAAATGACGGCAAGTCTGATACATCAGTAATTAAGGATCTCGTGGGTGGCTATTATGATGCTGGAGATGCCATCAAGTTTAACTTCCCTGCATCTTTTGCCATGACCATGTTGAGTTGGAGTGTAATTGAATACAGTGCAAAATATGAAGCTGCAGGAGAGCTCAACCACGTTAAAGACATCATCAAGTGGGGAGCTGATTACCTTCTCAAGACCTTCAATTCATCTGCTGATTCCATTACCCAGATAGCTGCACAGGTAAACTTGTGCATTGTTAGGCCAATTCACTTTAGCTAATTTTTATGATACACCCATCTTTCCTCTTCAAGTGATTGTATGCCATGTTTTGGTGTTCCAAAACCAGTTTGTATTATTCTGTCATTGTTCTTAATATGGTTGTTAAAATCGTACGATTCACGATTTGATACGAGTTTCAAGCAGAACAATTCAATTCTTGCAGTTGAATCTTAAATTGAGTGAATCTTACGATTTGCTATGATTCACTCCATTTCAAGTGATGTAGTTCTATTTGCATAATGCATGAAACGACATGATTTTCACAAAATAAAAAAATAAAAAATAATTAAAAAAAAGAGATGAATTAATTGTATTGATATACGTAGTTTTATTTTATAACATATATATAATTTAGTTAAATTGATATTTATTTCATTTTAAACATTACACGTGTATTATATTATATATATATATATATATATATATACATATATATATAATATTATGCTAAATAAAGTGAATTTTACTTATTCACGATTCGATAAGATTTACGATCCACTATTTTTGTAAAACAATTCACAATTTGATTTGCAATTTGACAACCATGGATAGTCTGTTAAGGAATAAAATTGTCTACTCGGTGTTTGTTTCTTGTCCTTTGAGCAGGTTTTTGTGGTTACTATTCAGTTTTTATTGTCAAATGCGCATATTTCCAGTGTCTAAATTGTTTATTAACTTTTTCAACCTTTGGGCTCTGGTGATGCAAAATCTAGCACATGTAACCTGATCTATCTACCTGCTTTTTTCTCCTCTTTGTCTGACAGGTTGGAGTTGGAGATACTTCAGGAGGGCCGACTCCTAACGATCATTATTGTTGGATGCGTCCTGAGGACATTGATTACGTGCGGCCTGTATCTGAATGTCATAGTTGCTCAGACCTTGGTGCAGAGATGGCTGCTGCTTTAGCATCCGCATCTATTGTTTTTAAAGACAACAAAGCTTACTCAAAGAAACTTTCCCATGGTGCAAGAACCCTCTTTAAGTTTGCTAGGGAGCAGCGTGGCAGGTACAGTGCAGGTACTGCAGAAGCTGCGATTTTTTATAATTCTACTAGTTATTGGGATGAGTATGTCTGGGGTGCGGCTTGGTTATATTATGCTACTGGAAACTCATCTTATCTTCAACTTGCTACCACTCCTGGAATTGCCAAACATGCCGGTGCCTTCTGGGGAGGCCCCGATTATGGCGTACTTAGCTGGGACAACAAGCTTGCTGGAGCTCAAGTAAGTGGAGTTTCTTGTAATAAGTTGGCTATTACTATCCCCTAGGGAAAGTACATTGCCATAGACACATACTAACATCTCACAAAAAGAGAAAAGGCTTTAATATAGTTATAGCCCAATCAATTAACATGTTTCCAATTATTTGTTTTGTGTTGTGCATTATATTTGTGTATGCTTATGGTGTCATCCCTTCACTTGTGTATTCCAAATTAATGTGCTTATGGTTACCCACAGAACTTTTGTTTCAGAAATTACTCATTGTTTTTGGAGATACCACACTTATTGCTGACGCATTCTTTTGGAATTATATGTTTAGGTGCTTCTAAGCCGTTTGAGATTGTTCTTGAGCCCGGGGTACCCATATGAAGAAATTTTGAGGACATTCCATAACCAGACCAGCATAATTATGTGCTCGTATCTACCATATTTTACAAGCTTTAATAGAACAAAAGGCAAGCCAACTCTATTTCATAGATTTGTGGACTTGAATATGTAGTTCGACATAAATCAAAGAATTTTTTGGTGGCTTATTGCAGGAGGCTTGATTCAATTGAACCATGGAAGGCCGCAACCACTTCAATATGTGGTCAATGCAGCCTTCTTGGCTACCGTCTACAGTGATTATCTTGCAGCTGCTGATACCCCTGGATGGTACTGCGGGCCCAATTTTTACTCGACAGATATCCTGCGTAAATTTGCGGAGACACAGGTTTGTAATGCTCTACTCTGTTCTTTCTCATACGTAGGTGGATGCAACAGATGTTTAATATGTTTATTTATTTATTTATTTGTGTGTATTTGTGCATATATATTCATGAGTAATTATGTTACAAGCCCCTGAACTTTTCATCTTTTTTGGATTAACCCCCTGAACTAAATTTTTGTTCAATTATGCCCTCTAACTTTCCAAATTGGTTCCATGTGACCCTTATTACATTCTATCTACACTAGGCCATTAAATACATTAGAGGTGACCCAACTAAAAGGTAAATTCATAAAATTAATCATAAATTCATACTAGAAAAAGAATTTTATGGTTAATTTTATCAATTTATCATTTCGATTGGTCCTATATCATATAATGAATTGCCAAAAGTTGACAGAATGTAAGAAAAGGATCAAATTGAACAAATTTAATTAGCCCTCTAAATTAAAAAAGTTAGGACTTATTTGAACAAAAACTTAAAGTTAGGGGCTTAATCAAAAAAGCGTGTGAACTTTAAGCACTTTTCACATAATTTACTCTATATTTATAGGTATTGTTTACACCAAAGAAGTCTAGCAGGTGCTCAAGGTTGAAACCATTGATGACTGAATAACAAAACAAAACAAAACAAAATTGTTCATTTCATTTTGATTTTGCAGATTGACTACATCCTTGGTAAAAATCCTAGAGGGATGAGTTATGTGGTCGGTTTTGGCAATCATTATCCTAAACATGTCCACCATAGAGCTGCATCAATCCCCAAGAACAAGGTCAAGTATAACTGTAAAGGAGGATGGAAATGGAGGGACAGTACGAAGCCGAATCCAAACACAATTGTCGGAGCCATGGTTGCTGGCCCTGACAAGCATGACGGTTTCCACGACGTACGTACTAACTACAATTACACAGAGCCAACAATCGCAGGCAATGCCGGTTTAGTTGCTGCCCTGGTAGCTCTCTCAGGTGGCAAGACTGTCGGGATTGACAAGAACACCATATTCTCTGCAGTTCCGCCAATGTTTCCAACTCCACCTCCGCCTCCAGCACCTTGGAAACCGTGAGATGCTGACTTAAGTCTCTTGTCATTGTTGTTCTGTCGTGTGACTCATGGGTAGATATTTTTGTGCAAAAGAATTTTGATGCGGCTACAAAAGAATGAGGTATATGATGGTTTACAATCTCTGAAGATGGCTGAGTTGGGATGGGGCTATGAATTATGAACTCATTGTTGGGTTGGTAGTCTGAGGTTGTTTTTCAGTTGTAGTTTGTGATATACAATGCATGTCTGTTTGTATGTATGTATGAAATCAGTCATGTATTCTTTCAAATACTAATATTTGAACAGCTTGAAGTTGTTTACAAATAATAAAGTTTCAAATGCCTAATGATGACTTATATTTAAATATTTTTTTTATGCATGTAGTATCTCTCTCTCTCTCTCACTATTTTTTTTTTAGCTGATGTGAGAATGGTGATATTGATAACTGATCGTTAACCGAGTAACAGTTGACTACTGAAGTGAAATTAATTAACTGCCACTCAGTACGGTGCCGAACTGCGAATATCAAATAAGATTTATATTTTGTGTTAGTTTTAGGTATGATTTATAAGTTACCTTTCTTATTTAATATAAAAATAGGTGTAGAAAAATAGAAATATGATATGATTTAAATAAGTCAATAAGTTGATTTTTTTAGTTCATCTCAAAAGAGGAAATATAAAATTTTCTTCAAAAATTGGCTAATAAATTTTTTATTTCAAATATTTACAATTTCTTATACACAAATTTTTATTTTTTTTTTTGCAAATTTTAAAAATTGATAAGTTTCTCAATTTCATAAAATTTCATAGTGAAGCTGATGTAATTTGGATGATTGTTAAGGGAGGTCCGTGCAATTTTCCCTAGGATAAACAATTATAAATTTGTAAAATTGCAAGTAGGAAAATGTAATGGATCTCAAATTTTTTGTCAAATCTCAAACATGAGTGTGAAACCCACATATAAAAAATTTAATAAAAAATTTAACAAATTATTTAAAATCCGTAACATAACTCTTGCAAGTGAGTTTGTATCCTTATTATGTAACTGAAAGCTATGACCTTTGAATACAACTTTCACTTATACCGACTTACATCTTTGTAATTACTTACCCACTTTTTGTTGATTTGTATTGAGCATAGAAAAATGTTTAAAATTTAACATTAATGACCAGAATTGATTTAAGGTGCTGTCTCATAATAACAACTTTAAAGCATAACCATATATTTGAAATTCTGGTAAGTTTTTGGTTAATTTTCTAAGATAGTAAACTTTACCATGTGTATTACCTTTATACTTGCGAGCTATTACTCTAGATGAAAAAGATATATCACTCAAAATCGCTTTACTCTTTCAACTTTAAAATCGTATATTAATACTTCAATTATAAAAAATTGCACAAATATACTCTTTTTTAAGTTGGTAAAAATAAAGTAAAATAATTGAGAAATCTAGATGTTTTATTTTAAAATTGAGAGAGATAAGGTGATATTCAACTATAATAGAGAGAGAGCAAAACGTAATTAGTTGAAAGATTAAAGGAAAAGTAGAAAAAAGAATGTTCTATAACCATGAATACGAGAGTGATTACATCACATAACTTCGTGGTCAACCTATATTAGCAGTCAAACAATACATGCTTTAAATAAGCTAATTCAAATTATTGGGTATAACATAATAAGACTATGAAGTTTGAGGGAATTCTAATTGAATTTCTGATTAGAAAAGGGACCCAAAAAAAAAGGCCAAAGACTCAGAAGTAATAAGAAATGAACCCTTTGATTTTTCGTTGGAGGATATAAGGTCAAAATTATGTTGCAAAATATATACATAAAAAATTGCCAATTGCATTAAATGTTTTAATTGGAAAACAAATTGTGGGGACATATTTTGTAATGACAGCACATGGCCAAGGTGATGTCGAAGTGTCAGCTGAGGTGTCACGTGGCCTGGTTCTAACGCCGAGGTAATCTTGACTAGGTCAAGGTTATCTGCGAAGATATCGGAATCCGAGATGAACGGATAAGGGACAAAAGTCTTAGAACAGGGGAGGATCTCAGTCTGGATAAAGATAAAGCTCTTAGGGAGTTTATGTCTATCTAGCTGGGAGTCCAAGATAAGCGTTAAGTCAAATTCCATTAAAACTAAGCCTCTACAAGGATCAGTTTAGTGCTGGCTATAAAAGTAGGGCACCCTTGTAGGTCTAAAGTATGCTTTATTTGAGAAACTTTTTATGCTCTGTCTAGTGAATTAGGCACAATTTGGCTATCTTTGAGAGATAATTATTGACTTGATCATCGAAGTGCCCCTGAGTGGACGATTGGAGTGCCCCTGAGTGGACGAACCACCGCTGGATTCTTATCTTTCTGTAACAGGTTGTTCGGGATTTTTTTATTCTGCCGATACTTTCCTACTGAGTTTCCCTGTTTGATTGTGTGATCAAAAATCAACACCCACACAAATCAATGATATCATTTAGTGTGATCACTCAATAAACATTTAAGAAGTGAAAGAAGAAATTAGGGATTTCGGATTCTTCCACTTCTTCTTCTTCTTTCTTTCTTTCTTTCTTTCTTTCTTCTTCTTTTTTTTTTTTTTTTTTTTTTTTTTTTTTGGTAAAAGATGAGAGGGATTCCAGGAATAATATAGTGAGATTTTTCATGAGTTATGATAACGTCACATGATACCACCGTTATACTCTATTCTTACGGTCGCATGAGTTACGCACGTGACTCAAACAATGTGTTTTCACTCACAATTATATTATTTGTGTCTTCTTTTTAATAATATTGTATTTATCACATTTTATATCATATTATGCTTATCATTTTATGTGTCAACATTGTAGATAGACAAGTGGTGAGACTACTAATATTATACCACAAATGCTACTGTCCCAAAATTTTTGTCCTTGATTTTCTAGATGAGGTGTTTGTGTAAGGAAAATTGAATGTGAGTTATAAATTGATAGTTTTGAATAAAATTTAAGGTAATTTTTTAAAAATTGAACTATTACTGATATTATACTGACAAATATGATAATAACCATAATATAATATAAAAATATGATAAATTTAACATTATTATGCAAATATGATAAATCTAACATTATTAAGTGAATGATGTGATCAAATGATGGGTGTTTGGTACAACTTAATCATATGATCAATTGGTGGTGCCGTTAGGTTTGGGTTGGTTATGCATTAGTCTTCTTGTCCTTTTCGATTAGTGGTCCTTTACTTTATGAGGTGGGGGCTTTTGAGTTCCTTTTCTTCCGGGCATTGCTTGTTTATGTGTTTAGCTTTAGGCTTAGTTTGGTAAGTAATTTTTTTAATTAAAAAGTTAAAAAAATCATTAAAAAAATTAAAAAATCAATAATTCATATTAAAAAGTCAAAAATTTTCTTTTCTTTCTACTTTTTACACATCTTTTCATAAAAAGTCAAAAAGTCATTTCAAATATACTAATTTTTTTTAGCTCATATTTTAATTAAATAGCCAAAAATTTACTAAATTAGCCTGTTTCCAAACGAGGCTTTGGTCTTCTCTCATTTTCCTTTTATTGTTTGGGTCAAGTTAATGACAATAAGTAATATTTTAATATATTTCTTACACACTTTTTAACATTAGCAACAGATTTATAAGAGGAGCTCTAACCCTGGACCATTTTTTCATCTAATTTGTTTCTAAAGTTGAGTAAAAAGTTTGATTTGATATAAATTATTTTAATCATTTCATTAAATTTTTATCAAAATCTTGTTAAATTTTTTCTCTTATCCCAAATTTTCATTTTCATTGAATTTGATGATAAAAAAGTCATTCATAAAAACATCTCCATCCAGCATCAAATGTTTCATCAAAAACACCTCATTTTGGCGCTCCAATTCTTTCATTAGATTCGTATCAAATAGAGGGAAAACCAAAACTTTCATCAAATGAAGAGAGCATTTCATCTTTCATCAAATTTAAAATGTTACTGTTATGTCAGATGTCCACCTGGATGTCCACTTTGACAGCTTTTTTGTTTATGTCCGAACGACCTCTAAGACATTCGCCTGGACGTCCTCCCAGACAACCGGGGATGTGAAAAAATTTGACGAAAATTTTAATTTTAGCATTGGAGTGAACGGTATCAAATCAAAATTTTTATTAAATGTTTACTCAAATTTGATGAAATTTTTTATTCAACATTGGAGATGGTTTAATGTTTCAGCTTTTTAAATTTTCACCAGATTCAAATTTGATAAAATTAATTTGATGGAAAAAAAATGATTATCGCTTCATTTAATGAACATTTGATGAAAGCATTGAAGATAATTTTTGGAAAAAAAAAATTTTATCAAATAATTTAATAAAAAAAAGTATGAAAGATGGAAGATGCTCTGACCTGTCTATTTTCTCATTGTTTAAAGCTTGTTTGTTTGTTTTTTCTTCTATGGGATGATCCAATCTTTGCTTGGAGATTGCCTCCATGCTTATTTGTAACAAGGGATATATGCCCTTAGTAGTATCTGCCTTTCAGAATTTTTTTTTTAAAAAAAAATAAACAAATAAACTTGTGTATTTTTCTGATTAAAAAAAAAATTGTGTATTTTTAAATTCTAAATCCAAACACTTCTGAATTTTTTCTCAAAACTTATGTTAATTTGTGAAATCACATTTTTAAAGCCATATTTTGAAAATTTTGGAAAAAAAAAAAAATCTAAAGTACTTATGTTGGAGAGATAATTTTTTGAAAAACTCGAGTTTTATAAATAACTTATTTATTGTCTAGCAAGAAAAGAAAAAAAATAAAGTATACCAACATTTTCTTTAATCATATTTGTTTTAGGTAATGAGTGGTTGAGATTTGTCCATTAGTTTGACATTAGTTTGACATTTAAATAGAAGCATTTTGTCTTTACCAAGTTTAAAAAATAAAACGGATAGTACACGTGTATTTTATTTGATTTTTATAATATATCATTGAATATTATTTAATAAAGTCATACATTTTGATTCTTCAATCATTTAAAAAAAAAAACTATAAAAATAACAACAATACTAGAGGGCCATAATTTTTGTGGCCACAATGACTCAAAATTGTCAAAACGACGTCGTTTTGAGTTTGTGGCCACAATGGCTCAAAACTGCCAAAACGACGTCGTTTTTGGTACAAAACATGCCAAAACGACGTCGTTTTAACAATTTTAAGCCATTACGACCACAAAAATTGTGACCCTCAAACATTTTCCTCAAAATAATTTTACCAAGACAAAAAGTGGTACAATATCACAATCCAAGGATCTTAATGCATATATTAAAAGGGGTAAATTATACTCACCTCTTTAAAAAAATATATAAAAAAATGTAATCAAATTCACAATTTTAATATAATTATATTAAATTTTTTTTAGATTTTAATTTATATAACGCTTAGTCATATTTTTATTAATAATTTGTTAGTTATATGGATGAAAAGTGATATTATTATTTTTTTTATACATAAAATTATGTACGTTATATTATTTATTTTTGTATCTTCGCACTATTTGCATTAATTTTAGTTTATTTAACTTAATAAAAGAGAAGTAAATATAATTATATCAAAACTGTGAGATTTATTATATTTTTTCTAAACTTTATGTTTACCCAAAAAAAAAAAAAAAATCATGCAACAAGCCATTTGATAAGATGAAAGTAAAAACGAGAAATTACGTGTCAGAGGCAGTTTTAAAAATTAATTATAAATTCATGATAAAATTTATGATTTTACTTTTTAATATTTGTAAAGTTTACCATTAATTTGAAGATAATTTTCTAAATATACACTAAAGTGAAATTATCCAAAGTAATACAATATTAGGGATAATCTGATATACACATCATTGAAATGGGTGTGCCATATACACCTCTAATTATATCATTTTCTTCTTTAGTTATGACAAATTTTCTTTTTCAATTATAATATTATTTTAATTATGACTCATGAGTTCTTCATCATGTTATGTTTGGTTATAATATTTTTTTGGAGACAATTACAAAAATAACTTAGAGTTGGAGCTTTCTAACAAAATAAACCTTGAATTTTTAATTTTATCAATTGAAACCCTAATATTTTGATTTATTTTCAATAAAAACTATTTGTTTATTTTTGTTAAGTAAAACCGACAAAAAATAATATTTTAGTTATTAAACTAATGTAGATATACATAAAATATTTAAAATACTATTTTCATTGAACTTAATGATTAAAATACATATTTTTTCATCGATTTTACTTAACGAAAATAGACAAATAGTTTAAATTAAAAGCAAATCAAAAGTTTAGTATGTAAATTGATAAAATTAAAAATTCAGAATTTATTTTGTTACAAAGGTCAACCTTTAAGGTTTTTTTTTATAATTATTTTTTTAATTATAACTCAAAAAAATATATAATTATATTATTTTTTTAATTATAAAATATGCATCATAATATTTTCCTAGTGATTTCAAATATACGATTCTAAAGCATAGTGAATTAAGAAAAATATTAAATAGTAAAGTGACGAATGTCTTTGAAATTAATCATTTTTTAATCTTGTTAATATTTTGTAATTTTGTAAATTGTGTGTGTGGGGAAGAGAGAGAGAGAGACGTTATAGTAGGTAAAAAACAGAAATCAAGTCTGGTGGGCGGCCGCTTTCACGCGGCCATAACGTTCTTCAAAAAAACAAAATACTCTCTCTCTCTCTCTCTCTCTCATCATCATCATCATCATCACCATCACCATCATCATCGTCTTCTCCACCCCTACAATTTCTGGATTCTCACCACCATCAACGACTCCTCTCGCCGATTTGTTCCAGTTTAGAGAGAGAGAGAGAGAGAGCAGAAGCACTAAATGTAAGTATTAATCTCTGAACCATACCAATATTGGGTGGATTAAACTATTTTAGGAATGTTTATATGCTTGTGTGTTTATGTGTTTGGTAGCTGAGAAAATTTACTTAGTTTTTAGGAATGTTTTTAACAGATTAATATCTATAAACTGTTGGATCACGCGTGATTAAATATCTTTTGTGAATTTCTTGTTAATCATAGGGGGAGAAGAAGAAAAATAGTATGATTTCAGATAACTATTTTTATATACATCATATCTTGAAATTCATAAGTAAATTATCAAAATCTAAATTTGAGTAATTCTTCTTGAATAATTAATGTCAAAATCTGTGTATTTCAAATCCACATTTATCCAAACGGAGCCTTAAATAGTTTTGAGTACAGTATAGCTGAGGGATTCACTCTTGGAATTAAGGGGCGGTAGAAAAGTGATTGTTGTGAGGTTAAATTTGGGTGGATAGATTTTTGCAATGAAGGGGGTTGGGGATTGTTGGCTTTTGGTGCTAGATTGGAGGATGGTGATGGAGAAAAAGCAAGAGGCACACATTTAATTTGGATTTTTGTGCAGTAGAATCTTTGGTGCAAGTATAATAATTATTAAATAAGTTCCTTCATCTTGTTGCGTAGTTATTTGTGGATGGAAAAGAAAAAGGGAGTATAGGCAAAGTGATTGCGTAGTTATTTATGTTAGTTGTTGTCAGCTGACCTTGATCTTGCCCAGAGCAGCCCCCCTTGTGCCTTCAACTTGAAGCGAATCAGCTTTTACTAGGGTATAGGCAACCTTCAGTGCGCATAAGCTAATCAAAATTAGCTGTCAGTGCTCTTCTCCGGAACTGAAATCATTCAAAAATCATTAAAATCCTAAATGTGCCTTCCATAAGTGAATTCAAAAGTTATTTGACCCTACCTGGCCATGTCAATGGGTTTCCTAACTTTCATCAGTGATGTTATTTGTGAAATCTAGTTCCCTCATATAGGTGGTGTAATACAACTAGTGGAAAACCACGTAGGATCAAGCATGAAAGATTGTGATGTGTTAGTTGTATCCTTTATAGCACATGGTGTAAAGTGACATTATGTTATATGCAACTGTCCTCATTGCCAGGCATGTGTTATCTCAGTGTTCTGCTTGTATGCTTGATTATGGACTATTCATCGGTTAATAATATGCAAAGTTCTGTAATTTAAATAGTCTACAGTCTACAATATGCTGCCTCTATTGATGCTAATAGCATATTCATGTTTCATTTGACAGATTTCTGGTGTCTTAATGAAGATGCCAGATTCAGCTGAGATGGTTGGAAAAGACAGGTTGAACAATGGGGGTCAAGTGAGGGAACATAGTGAGTATGTGAGATTGGTTATATCAAATGAACCAAGGGCAGGCGAAGGTGTTACCTTACAACCCCAAGCTGGAACAAAACATAAGTCATTCATTTGTTGGACCAAGGCCATATTGTGGTGCTCTATTACTATATTAATTCTTCTCATTTTTGCCAAATGGGGCGTACCATTCCTTTTTGAAAAGGTACTTCCATACTAATTCACGAATCACTCAATTTTGGCTCAATGTGCAGCCTTGTACTAAAAAATGTCATATATAAAAAGTAGTATTTGGATTGTGATAGGCCCCGGTTTGGTGCAATTTCTTGCAAGTTGAAAGTTTATATCATAAAGCATTTCTTTTACCACTTCTTCTTCTCGCTCTTCTTCTTTTTTATCCCTTGGCATCAATTTTAGTATTTAAATTTAAATTTTGCACGATCCTTTCCTGAACTTGATTAATATTCTCTGAACTCCATGCAATTATCCAGCCTGTACTGCAATGAAATCTTGTGTGATGTTAAATTTTCAGCAACAAGATCCAATGAAAAAAAATCTTTAATTCCATTTCAGGCTCCTAAAATTGGGCACATTGAATTGGTTTGATGGATGTTTTCCAAAACTTAAACGCATGTTTTTAATACAATAATATTTCTCCAGGGATTGTTTCTGCTATGAAGCAGTACTAAAATTAAACTTTACCAATATGGCAGCACTGAACCTTGGATTTCTCAATTTCATTGCAGGTTATTCTTCCAATCATGCAATGGGAAGCCACGTCCTTGGATCGGCCAGTTCTTGCTCTCGTACTTATTGCTTCTTTGGCATTTTTTCCTGTGTTCTTAATCCCTTCTGGCCCTTCCATGTGGCTGGCTGGAATGATATTTGGATATGGTATTGGATTCATCATAATTATGGTTGGAACAACCATCGGCATGATCTTGCCATATTTGATTGGATTGCTCTTCCGTGAACAAATTCATGTAAGACATCAATAGATTATCAGCGATGATGATTGATTGAATTGTCTTATTTACTTTCATGTCCTCTCATATGTTTTCCCATATTTCATCTATCTCTTCTTGTGTGTGCAGCAATGGTTAATGAGATGGCCTAAGAAAGCTGCAATGATTAGACTGGTAGGGGAAGGGAATTGGTTCCATCAATTTCAAGTCGTTACACTCTTTAGGGTTTCACCATTTCCATACACAATTTTCAATTACGCAGTAGTGGTAACAAGTTTGAAATTTTCAGCGATGATGATTGAATGAATTGTCATATTTAATTTCATGTCCTCTCATATGTTTTCCCATATTTCATCTATCTCTTCTTGTATGTGCAGCAATGGTTAATGAGATGGCCTAAGAAAGCTGCAATGATTAGACTGGTAGGGGAAGGGAATTGGTTCCATCAATTTCAAGTCGTTACACTCTTTAGGGTTTCACCATTTCCATACACAATTTTCAATTACGCAGTAGTGGTAACAAGTTTGAAATTTTGGCCTTATTTATGTGGATCAGTTGCTGGAATGGTTCCAGAAGCCTTCATTTACATCTACGGGTTAGTTTTCTGAATTTTCTTTGTAGTTAATCTACCGCTTTTCTCATTCTAAGAAAAATTAATTATACAAGCCAGGTAAAGTGCCTCCTTTAGAAAAATAACTTGAAAATGGATAAAATGATTTTATAGTCATTCAATTGATGACTGGCAATCAAATCATAACAAGAACACTTCTTTTTTGAGGCGCATCTCTTCTCAAGTTGTGTTCTTGATGCAAAGCCTGAATGATTGTCAGTGGTAAGATTATATTCATGGGCACATAAGCCTGGATGATTACTTCACTGGGAGCTAAGATGCACGGACACTTCTACGAATGTAGCATGTCATATTAGACACCATGTCGAATACCGACATGACACAACACTCATCGGACATTTCTTGACACCTATCGGACACACATCCACTATTCTTTAAAATTATAGATTTGGGTTCGGTTCTGACATTTGAGAAACACATGTGAAGAATCACTTGATTCACATGTTGTGTTCAACATTTTTTTAAATATTAACGTGTGTGTCATGTCACATGTTTGTGTCTTTGCTTGTACATATTTTTGCTGACTGTGATTTATCTTTTGTTGTGCTTCTTTATAGCGGTCGGTTAATAATGACATTTGCAGACATGAAGTATGGAAACCATCAGATGACTTTAGTAGAAATCACATACAATGTTATCTCCTTCATTGTTGCAATCTTCAGCACAGTTGCTTTTACCGTCTATGCAAAGAGAACCCTAAATGAACTTGAGAGGGCAGAAGCCAAGGGTGAAGCCTCTGGTTATGACCACATCAATTTTGAGATGGAGAAGCCCCCCCTTGAAAGATCTAAGCATCTGGCTTTCTCATGATCATTGTAATAGCCTTAGATGGTTTGTAGATAGATAGTTTGGAAATCATGAGGGGTTTTGTGTTAGATCCTTGACATATATACATGTACAAGTAGAAAAAAGAAAAACAGTTGATAATTCTGTAACACTACGAAAATTGTGAAGTGATGAGAGTACATGGGAAAATATGTTTATTTTTTCTTTTTAAATTGTTCCTCTCTTCAAGTGTGACCCCATCACATATAATTGTTTATTGACGAAACGAAATTATCACACAAAATTAGATATCGATTTAGTGGGTGAAGAATCCCAAATCCACATAAAGAAAACCTTGAATCGACAAGGAAGAGAAGAATAAATAAATGAATAAAATTCTCTTGACCAAATATTATATTAAAAAGAGAATTGATGATAAATCTAATTTAAAAAGGGTGTAAGATATTAGATTCCGTGAATATTTTTTATTGGTGAGAAATCCACACTTTGTGAAATATGAGAAGCCTTAGAAGACATTTTGTTTCCAATTTTACTCCTTGACTTTTTTTTATCTATTTGACTTTTCGTTGATTATCTGTTTAAATTTATATTTATCTGTTCAAATTTTGTCTATTCATTCAAATTTATATCTATCCGTTCAATTCCCCTATTTGTTCAATTTTTCTCCTAAATTCTATCTATCTCTTCAATTTTTTCGCCTTAATTCTATTTATTTGTTCAATTTTATATCTATCTGTTCAAAATTTTTGACTATCTGTTCAATTTTTCCCTAAATTCTATCTATCTATTCAATTTTTTTTCTATCTGTCGAAAATCTATGCCAACTTTTTTGTTTATTTATTGCAATCATCATCATCATCATCATCAACAACATCAATGTTTTTTCTAGATCTGTCTCATACATACACACTCGCAAATATACACACATACACTCACAGATCTATATACACTCAAGATATACATTCATACATACACACACTCAATGTTTTTTGAACCTATTTTGATGGCTAGAGAGAGAGAGAGGGGGAACAAATGAATAAACAAATGTGGTGTGTTTGAGAGAGGGAAGCCTCTCTGAAAGATTTAAAAGCTTTTCCAAGTTTAGGTATGGAACTACAGACCCAGCAGCGAGCGAGAGCGCGTGCGCGTGCACACATACATATATATATGTATCACCTGCTTAAGTTACATTTACACAACCCCCCAATCAAAAAAGTCTTAAATCACATGTGATTGCTTACATGATTATCAATTGGCGGAAGACTCAAACAAATATCAACAACAGCCTATCAATAAGAGCGGAAATAGCCGAGTTTCTGGGCGAGGTGTTGACGAGCTTTGAGAGCAGCATCATTTATGGTGGAAGTGGAGTTAGGCATCATAGATCTGTAAAAAAGGTGGCCAGGTGCTGAGATAGAGAAGGCAAAAACCACCGCACCGCACTCGCACATTCAGCAGATCCGGATCTATCACATAGAAATAGAGATGGTTCTGGCTCCGGAAGATCTGTCGCCGATCAAGCACCTAAAGGTTGGTGGTGTGGCGGAAGAGGAGGCTAACGGCCATTAATCACCGATGAAGAGAGAGAAGAGGAGAAGAGAGAGAATAAGTTCTGGGAATGGATTTGAACAGATCGAATGTAGAGAGAGAAAGAGAGGAGGGTGAAGAGGGGGAGAGAGAGAGAGAGAGAGAGAGAGAACGTGTTTGGGAATGGATTTCAACAGATTATTGTATAAAGTGACTCACAACAGGAAGAAGGGGTAATTTGGTCATTTTATTAAAACATGTCTTTATAGACAGAGTTATTTAACGAGTGGATTTATGAACCAAAAAAAATTAAAATTGGACTGTTGGACTGAGTACCCTATTAAAAACAAAATTAGATTTTTTTTTTTAAATCTTGTCCTATATCACATGTGGAGCATGGTATGGTGTTTTTCTTTAAATTAAAACTGCCGCACCCAACAAATTCAAATGATGTAGTTGAAACTCAATTGCATGCTTTGATAGACCCAAACCTCTTCTAAGTAAATAAACAAATAAATATATTTTAAATCATTGCTATATTGTTTTTCCTTACAATTTATTTGATTATGCTGGATGAGTCGGGGGGCTTGGGACAGTTTACTTTCATCACATCTCACCATTTGCTGAAGTCTCTAAATATTTCGAGGAAAAGAAGAAAAAGAAAAGAACAATTTTAAAAAAATAAATCAGAACTTGAAAAGTAATTCATGTTCAGGATTGGAAAACGTGCTTTACTTATGCCAGTGTTATCTTGAAGTAATCTGGAACTTACTTTGTATACATGATTGTCATTGACAATTGATAAAGAAAATTCAGTTGGTTAGACTGATGACTAGTCTTTGATGAGTTAAGCAAACTCAAGGAGATGATATTTGAGTTCGGGTAGGGTGAGAAAGCTCAATTATTGATGTCGTAATTCCTTCATCAACAGCTCTTATTTCTTCAGAAATGTAGTCATCTTCAATTGATTCTTTGACCATTCTGCGAGACCAGTTTTTAAGAATGTCTTCCATATGGTCTTCAAACATGCCTCTTTTAAACATGCTGCCCATCTACATTAAGCATGCAATAAAACGGGAAAGCAAATGTGTCAAACTTAATCCGAGAATAGTGCAAATAGATGTAATATGCTTTTCTTTTTCTTTTTTTAATACCTGAGTGACAAGAGCATACAAAGGTAAGGTGCTGTAACTGCAAAGCACTTGAACCATCACCCTGCCCAAGCAAGTGATGAAATGAGAAGATGATTACAAGATGAGAATGGGACACAGTTGTTTAGGGTCTGTTTGGTTAGATGTATTTCAAATGAAGGGATTTGAGGTTGGATTTTATAAAAATATTGAAAAGTAGCTATTACAGGTGGATAGAAAAACTGAAAAGATGTATCTTTTAGTAGCATCTTTGTAGCTAAAAAGAGAATCCTTAGCATGATTTCAAACATCTACATTTGCATAGGTATTTCAAATCCATCATGATAAAGCTCTTTAATAAAATATGGAAATGCCAAATCCATGCATTTCAAATCCATAAATACAAACAGAGACTTAGTTTCATACATGCAGTGACACTAAAACAAAATGCAAAATTACGATTCGGAATTAGTGGAGTACCCAATGATAAGTCTTGGGATGATGAAGCCCACTTTCTCCATGACGCATGAATGAAATCCATATGTGCTCTGGAGAGTAGATGATTAGTTAAAAACAGTGCTAAACAATATGCATTGCACATGTGAATCTGTATCACTGAAAACATGATAGAATAATCTGCTTACCAATATCCAAAAGAAGAAAGCAATTTCAAATGAATTCTGAAACAAAATGAAGTGAATCAAATACAGAACAAGATGGGGGTTCCCAAACCAAAAATGTTCATCAGAAGGCTTCACTAATTGTGCTTCTAGGCCATCTGCCCTTTTCTCTACAGAATCTTCAGCTAAGCGGGAAATTATGTATTCCAGCTTAGTACCCACAAGAAGCAGAAGCTGCCATCACACTCAACTCGCATTAGTCTTACATCATTCTTTACAAAATGGGCACCAAATCACACTTAAAATGAAAACAATTCACTTACAATTAAGGGCAGAAAGGATAACCAAAAATATGAATGCCATCCTGCATTTTTAACCAATACTCGGGAAGAATTAGAAATCCATCATGAAATGAAATGGCGAATTGCACAACTAAGAAAGAGAAAAGGGTAAGTACCTTGAATATTAATTAGCAAAAAGATCACGACAAAAAGCCACAAGTACCAGCTGAAGTTGCAGATTGGTTAACAATGTTAGCATAAAATCATCTCATTCCTGTAATGTAGTGCAACGATTAAAATGTACAAGGTTTACCTTATGCCAACTATTCTTTTAAAATCAACTTGTAGTGTTCGCAACATGTACTTGTGAAAATCAAAAGTTTGGTGCGAAGGACAATGAGTCTACATGAAAGGCATTCACAATCAGTAACTAGTGATGCTTTTAACACAGCATATGAAATTAACTAATAGACAAGATGAATATCTAGTAATAACCAATGATGGGAACTATACCCGTATAAATCCTAATCGCAGTGCAACGTAGTCTGACTTCGTGACTGAGCCATAAAACTGTTTGAAGCATGACAGCTACGAACAAGTGTCAGAAGAAATGAAAAAACAAGTGTTAGAACTTGCATAAGAATAGCCATTGCATTGCTAAAACATGCATCTTGCTCGATTCTTCAAGAACGATCATGTTACATCGTTGTCCATGACTATTTTTTACAATACAAATAGAAGCTAATTAACAACAGGAAAGCTAAAAAGCAAAATTGATAATGCATGATTGTCAGTGCCAAACTCCCAATGTTGTGCAATAAAGTATATTTCAATCAAGTAATTAAAAGAACAGTTAACTACATAAATGCTTAGGCTTGTTTAGTTTTAAAATAATAATAATAATAATAATAATAAAAGGACAAATTACAAATGCACCCCCTGAAGTTTTCATATATTATACAACTGTCAAAGCCTACTGTAAAAATATATGTATTATTGATATTGATTGATAGTAGAAGGCCGATACAGTCTATTAGATGTTTCATAAGCACACACTAGAGTCTCATCTAAATCAAGAACCACCGTAAGCCTCGTGGAATCCCAGCTGTGGCCATGACAATGGCAGTAGCAAGTTTCTTTTCTGGTACTCGCCTGTATCGGAACCAGAAGCCCGGAGGTAGCCCTCTGACAAGAATCTGTGTAGTGGAGGTAGGTGAAGTGGAGTGTGTAGTGGAGTAGGTGAAGGTAAAGATGGGAAATTCTAACACCTACTTCTTCAGAGAAAAATAGACGAAAATTTACAATTATGATTTCAAACTAATCTTCAAAAGAAAGTGTGAATACCTTCTATATTCGTTATTTGCAATTATGTTAAATTGTTTGCACTTCCTAGTTGACAAATCCTTTAATCTTTTGAATATTATATTTAATTGTTTGTTTGCAGAGGCCAAAGAGTTGTATTAATC